GTATATTATATGTTGGTACATAGGCAATATATTAGTGTTCTAAGAATCTTTAGTAGTTTTTGCATCAACACCCAATCGAATTATATATGCAAAATACCATGCTCTGAGACAAAGTGTCGTAAACTTTTCCTCCAAAAGTTCAAGACACCATTGTCTCTTTGAAATCCCAGAGGAGTGACCTCGATAGAAGATAAAGACCTCACATCAGTGACCCGCCTTCAGTCTGCGGTTCTGTTAGATTCTGACATGCTCTCAGACAAAGGGTCATAAAATCCCCCAGTATTTCCAACCTCCCGCTTGGAAATTCAGCCTTTCTCATTGGACAAGCCCATGCTGAGAGGCGTGAATCTTTTCAGACTTTAAAGGGCTCATGCACAGTTCCACCCGGGTCTTCTGCTAAATCTTCTGATTGCTGCCCGTGTGGAGAGCCTGAGCCGGTGCGGGCTCAGTGGGCTCCAACATATAGCCCTTGCCAGTCTGCGGTTTTGTTAGATCCTGAGAAGATGGGGATGCTCAGCTGGTCTTCTAAGGACACCCTAAGTTCGTGCCAGGCCTCGGCCTTGACTTTCCATTCACCAAAGATCCTAGGATCTCAGCTGATGTCTCAGCTCTTTTTCACTTTCTACTGGGAAGAAACTCCCAATCACCATCGAGTCAGAACAGTTTTGGAATTCATCACTCTTCAAACCCGGAAAAACGTGATCGCAAGTCCAAAACCTTGAAACCATCAAGACTTTCATCCGAGACTGCATCCGGACACTCGTCAACGACCAAGGCAATGCAAGAAACAGAGGTTTAGTATAAGCTGTAGACCCCGTTATAAACGGCACTGATGGTTTTTAACTCAGGTGGTTCTGACTCATTTTCCATAACTGCATTCTCTGGTTTCTCTAATGGCTTCATTCATCCACTTTAGCTCCCCTTTGTATGCAAGCGTGAGTGTATGTTTATTTGTTGGTTTGTTTAGATTAGTTATGTGTGTTAGCGTTTAGTTAATAAAACTCTTGTGCACAAATGACATGAGTTTCTGATTCTGCCTTGCAAATCGGCACTGATGGTTTTTAACTCAGGTGGTTCTGACTCATTTTCCATAACTGCATTCTCTGGTTTCTCTAATGGCTTCATTTATCCACTTTAGCTCCCCTTTTGTATGCACGCGTGAGTGTATTTATGTTTGTTAGACTAGTTTGTGTTAGTGTTTAGTTAATAAAACTCTTGTGCACAAATTACATGAGTTTCTGATTCTGCCTGGCAAATTAATGTCCCTTTACGATTTTGATTCTTGCTACATGCTCTAATGCATTAATACTGTATGAAAGTATTTTCTGTGGCCACTAGAGTTGATACGAACTTACACTGAATGTTCGCTGGATGAACAGATTAGTTGAGGGCAATTTAATTCTGCTACATTACTACTGGCAGCTGATATGAATAATTGTAATTAATCATAATTAATTGTAATTATTTATATACATTTCCCTTTTGAGCTAATTTGCTACAGACCCAATGCTCTTGCAGCAAAAGCAGTCTGTCTCAGTGAGTGCAGCCTAGTGTGAAGCTGTCAATGATACAGAAACATCGGTGACAGCATTCTACTCCGATCCACCTAGAAGGATTGAACCGCTCAATGTAACGAGGGGTCGCTGATCTTCACGTGTAAACACACCGGCAGATCAAAGTGCTGCTGGGAGAGTGAGCACACGGGACCTGTGCCAGTGTGGGATCACTCAAACCCAGTTGCTCAACTCCATGACTCCACCGTTTCTTTCTCCGAGCTTGCTGAGAGAGGAGAAACGGGAGAGCGGGGCTGCCTTCATTGAAGGCGGCGGTCTGCGAGCGGAGAATAGTGAGACTCATTCTCTCAGTGAAAGCAATCCATCTCAGTGAGATAGGTTAAATGCAGACCACAAATTCTGTCACTCACTCACTCGCTCAACAAGAGTTTGGCCGTGCTTCAAGGGGGAGTTGTCCCTGGCACCCTTCGAGGCCATGGACTCTGTTTCAGAAAAGTTTCTTACCCTGACCAGCTGCTGGAATGCCTTGGAACACCCAGGTGAAGCCTCCAAGCAGACAATAAATAAATGAATCATTGATGCTATCTCTACAGCCTACAAGGCGCATTAACTTCCCTCACTGCTGGCTGTGCGGACCCACTCTACTAGGACTACTGTACCCCTGGTTCCTCTAGAAAGGAACGAGACACTGTGTTGCCTTGCCATACTTCCTGCATGTCTGTGAACAGCTTGCTTCAGCCAATCAGAAGCAAATGTTGGCTTGTTCCAGGTGTCTTTTATAGCTTCCGCAGTACACCATCATGGTCACGGGGTGACGCAGTACCATTCAGGATTGGAATAGTTGCATACAGGCTTTAGCACAATCATATTGAGGCGTTTCACATAGCATTGTCATTGGATGCAGCATCTTGATCCCTTCTTAAGGAACCATGGTTACAGTCGGAGCCTGAGATGTTTTCAAAGTTTTCTCAGTACCTTCAACAGTTTCTTAAATCCTGTTTGATTTGTTAAAGAAGGATTCAAAGTCACATTTTCTCAGATGCAGGATTTTAAAATGTGTGAAAATCAGGCAATAATTTAATTCCTCTGATTATACTAAATTAATTTTTTTTATTATTGTCTCTTATTAGTATTATTATTATTTATTGTATTTTATATATTTCATTTACCATGAAAGTGATATGATTATTCTTAAAAATGTTTGGTTGCATGTTCTGGCCCTCGCAAGAAAATAAATTTATAGCCCTGCGATATACGAACTATGGCAACATCTCCAAGATGTTGGATCAACCTTGAAAACTTAAATATTTCTGTAAGTTTCTCTTTTTAATCCTTTCTATTTTGTACAGTCCATTGAAGGTTAAAGGGTAACGCTAAGCATGACACACAGCTGTCTATGGAGTACCAAACCTGCAGATATTCCCACATGCATTTATTTTCAGATTTATTTATTAATTTATTTTTTTTTACTTTTCCATGTGCAACATGGAAATGAGGGAGGCGGTCCTTGCGGAGATCTGGTGAATCACTGTTTGAGAGCTCACGCAGAAGTGTCAGTTCAAACTAATGATAGAGATCTGCATTTGATACGAGATGTGTCAGATCAACTGGAGAGTTCCAAGATATTTTCACAGATTCACATTATTATGTTGAATTATTTTATAGCGACTGAATTCAGCTACTTATCCTCATAGTTTCATCATTAAGCCCGGAACCATCAACGTCAATGAGATTCTAGGTTGATGGTGCCTCTAGACACACTTGGTGGAGGTTTCTAAGGCTTGTGTTTATTTTGTAGTCACAGAGAGAATCTCACAGAGAAAAGACTCCCAAAAGCATTGTGAGTTCATCGTAACCAGATGCACCAAAAGTCTCTACAGTCTCTCAGGCTCACAATGCTTTTTGAAGGTGCGGCCCTCTGGCAATTGATGTTAAAGTTGGCTTTATTCGCAAGTTTAGGGACCATCTCTAAAGTTAAATATGACATTGGTATACAGGTTTCTAACTTCAATAGCATTTGAAGAGAATAACTTACAGTCACAAAACCAACTGTAAAGTGTTCATCTTTGACTTTGACATCTAGCTGGGGACTATTTTCAGGCGCTGCGTAATTTTCCGTCGGTCATAGTACACGATGTAACTACAGAAGAGTCAAGTTTTAAATAGGAAAAATATCGAAACTCTTTGGTCATTTTTGAGCGAGATGCTAACGGTCTAAACTCTATGCTAAGCTACAGCTAAAAATGCTACCGCCAGACCCGGAGATCGGCTGAATGGATTCGAAAACGGTAAAACTCAACTGTTTAACTCTAGGGGAGTTGGAAAATGAGGCTATTTTCAAAAATAGTGGAGTGTTCCTTTAACACAGGGTCAAAGCTAGAGTTGGCAACCCCACTCACAGCTGCTGCTTCTGTCTTTTTTCTTGAAAAGATTTGCATTTATTTAGACTCTGAAGTCTAAATCTTTATGACCACATCAAATGGGAGACTTTTCAGACACGCACTCTAAAACTTTGCCTCAGCGCCAGGCGCTAGTCAAACGAGCGCGGAAAAGGTACAGGTGACGAGGAGCTTCAGTAGAACAACAGTGAAGTTATGTCGTCAGTTATTAAGTTACCAAAAAGGCAATTAAAGCTGCCTTAAAACTGTGCATCCATGTAAGTATTTGTTATATGAGTTACATTTAAGAACATGTCTCTGAAATGGTTTTCAGAACTGTCCTGGAGCAGCCCAGCACTGTCTCCCTCATATAACACACCCGATTCAACTCGTCAGCTCATTAGCAAAGACTTTAAGACCTGAAGTGGGTCAGAAAAGGTAAAAAGTTGTGAGAAAATATGATGCGTGTCAGATCTGCATCATGTTCAGCAGCGGCAGCTCTTAAAGCAGCTAAAATAACCTAATAAGCCACCTGCTGTGATGTCTGCTAATCAAAGAACAAAAGAAAAAGAGGAAATCAATAACTTTTGTAGCTTTAGTCCTCTTGTAGACAAGTCCCCTGCACCTGTGTTGCAGCCTGGAATTAAACCACACCGTGCTGGTTTTGTCTGGCCAGAGGAGAACTGGACCCGACTGAGCCTGGTTTCTCCCAAGGTTTTTTCTCCATTTCTGTCACTGATGGTGTTTTGGTTCCTTGCCACCGTCACCTTTGGCTTGCTTAGTTGGGGACGCTTGACTGATTACACAGACACTATTGGAAGAGAGCTGAACGGGATAATGACATAACTGAATCATCAATGAACTGACTTTAGCTGGAAAAATGACTCTTTGTTATTGTCTTCTTGCATTATTGACAAACTCTTTTTCTGTTTGACATTGTAAACTGTTTTGACACAATCAGTATTGTATAAAGAGCTATACAAATAAAGGTGAGTTGACTTTAAGGTTGAATCTTTATTTAAATTAAAATTTAGTGTTTGATAACTTTATTCAATTTCTGTATATTGCCTACATGCTGAAGGGCACAGGTAGCTAAATATGACATTTATTATAATGGGTTTATGTGATTGTTTTAAGTTCACTTAAAATTGAAGCTGATATTTTTTAAAAGTCTTATAAATGTTAAAATTGATAGCTCTCAATTATACTGTAATGGTGAATGGCTAGTCAATGGTTAAATATTAGGCAAAAAAACTATTTCATAGAGACATCAGTAGTATTGGTATCATTGATACTTGCCTTCAGTCATAAAAAAAGATGCCATTAAACAAGTATTAAAAAGATACTGTCTTTATGTTGTTTCTACATTAATTTGAAGATTGAATGTGAAATTATTGCAATATAAAAGTACATTTAAAACTTTAATGTTAGGTGGGATTAATCACGATTAATCGTGATTCATTTCAGAAAAAATGTGCGATTAATTGACAGTTTATTTTAATAAATATCAAAAATCTAATGTGTATACCAAAACGTGTATACCAATGGTAGAGATTGTCCCTAAACTTGCGAATATCGAACGTTCAACATCAAGCCAACTTTATGCCAGTGGGCCGCGTTTCCAAACCTTTGATGCAACTGGTTTACGATAAACTTAGGCTCACAATGCTTTTGGGAGTCTTTTCTCTGTGAGATTCTCTCTGTGATTACAAAATAAACACAAGCCTTAGAAACCTCCACAGAGTCTCAACATCAACCGAATCTCATCGACGACATTGATTGTTCCGGGCTTAATGATGAAACTATCAGGATAAGTAGCTGAATTCAGTCCTAATAAAATAATTTGACATAATAATGTGAATCTGTGAAAATATCTTGGAACTCTCCAGTTGATCCAACAAACTCAGATCTCTGTCGTTAGTTTGATCTGACGCTTCTGCGTGAGCTCTCAAGCAATGATTCACCGGAGCTCCACAAGGACCGTCTCCCTCATTTTCATGTTGCACACGGAAAAGTAAAAAGAAATCAATTAATAAATGTATACATGTGGGAATAAATACATATTTAAAAAATAAATAAATGCATGAATAAATACATTTAAAAATAAATGAATAAATTAAATAAATATAAAAAATAAATGAAATAATACAGAAAATAATACATAAAGGAAAAAAGTAATAAAAATAAATTCAGGATTACATTTTACTACAAATTAACTATATTTGTTTTATCAAGCCATTTATGTCTTTATTTATTTTCCTATTATTACATTTATTTATTTATTTTTTATTTCTGCAGGTTTGGTCCTCCATAGCTGAAAGCTGTGTTCAGTTTATTTTGTTATTGAGTAAAATCCCCTTGTTGCCCCACATACTTGAGTTTGTCCAGTGAGTAGTTTGGATCCTCCAGTTTTTCAGAGAGAAGCTGGACTCCTGAATCTCCGGGGTGATTGTAGCTCAGATCCAGCTCTCTCAGGTGTGAGGGGTTTGAACTCAGAGCTGAAGACACATAACCACAGCCTTCCTCTGTCACCATACAGCCAGACAACCTACATACACACAGCAACAGTCTTATAAATAAGGAAAACTTATTTTTATCAGCAACTCAAGATGGCGGCGCGTTCACACGCTGCGGCTTCTCTCTCTCCCGACAGAAAGGTGTTTTCGTGTTTTTTGTCTTGTGAGTCACAGTGTTTTTGTACGTATTCGTCGCGTCTATCTGTCTCTAAGCGCGACAATAAAGCAGACTTGACTTGACTTGATTATTAGCTATTATTTTTGTTTATTAATTAACCATGTGTCAAAGAGTCCTCTTAGATAGGTAATCGCTGTGGCAACAGTGTATGCATAGTAAAAGTTATGCTCCTTAACATGGAAGTTGATCTATGGACTTAGGTAAGATTTTGTAATGTGGGCTACCAATAAAAGATCAAAATTATCTGTACTTTATTTGTAATTTATTTAAGATCTGACTTACAAGCCTTGACTATGTGTGCCATTCTTCCTAAAAGCTTTTAACACAAATATGTAGACCAAAAAACATACACAAATATGTATATGCCATTCAATTTAAAAGTTAAAAGCAGAAATGCAGCTCTGAACTGCTGAATTTGCCACTATGAATGTTTAGATCTTCCTCAATAAGTGTATTAGACTTTACCATTTCTTTGCTCAGACCCCATAAAAATCTATATCAGCACTAAATATAGCACTAAACCTCGAATTACAATGTAAACATTGTTGAACATCCAAGTTACTAAAAGTTCAAATATAGAAATGTTATATTATTAAAATAAAATAAAAATGACTATCTTATATACCTCAGAATCTGCAGCTGACAGTTTGGACTCTTCAGTCCATCAGAAAGCAGCTTCACTCCTGAATCCTGCAGGTCATTGTTACTCAGATCCAGCTCTCTCAGGACAGAGTGTGAGGATTGTAGAGCTGATGACAAACTCTGACAGCACAGAGCATTGATATTACAGCCAGCAAGACTGAAAGAGAGCAGAACACACACAAATTAAATTCTTAACCTCATTCAACAACTGGTATTTCAATAATATCAAGATTTGTTCTTGTAAAAGAGGTTAAGACATTATACAGATGGTACCAGAATAGTCTTTTGCCGCAAAAAGTCATTTGATGCCGCAGTTACCACTGCCATTTCTGTGCCAAATGTATTTGCTGCCTCTGACCGCTAAGTTAAGCTTTATTCAGTGAAATTCACCATAACCAACCGTAACCCTACGGATTAACTCTATTAATCCATTACTGTTTCTAAATCTGTATAAACACACCTCTTTGTCATTACTGAACACACTAGCTCCCTTGATATACTTGCCATATATAATAACTCTATTTCCACTGCCCATAATATTCATGCCCCCCTTAAAAGTACATTTGTACCTTCTACACATACATCTCCCTGGTTTACTCCTGCACTCCATGACTTGAAAACTGCTGGTCATCGCCTTGAACGCCTTTACAGGAAAACTGGTTTGACTGTGCACCTTACTGCTTACAAAGACCATATTCAGTTATACAAATCTGCTATAAATACTGCACGCTCTAGCTAATACTCTACCCTTATTAGTAATGCATCTTCTTGACCTAAAACACCATCTTCTGTTGTCAGTGTTCTCACCCCTCACACCTGACATAGAGCTATGTGAGTCATTTGTACAGTTCTTCCAAACTGCATTTTAATTATCTTAGATTTCTCTTTAAGCATCTCAGTGTTCACATTTTACAACTCTCTGCTTTTGGTATCTCTGGAACTGCCTTATATTGGTTCACTTCCTATTTGTCTGACTGTCCGCATTAGATCTCTATTAAGGCTGTACGATAAATCGCATGCGATTTTTAACGCGCATCTTATCAGTAAAGCTGCTTCTGTAATCAGCGGTAAATCTCCATCATGTGCGTGCTTTCACATTGAGCAGCATTGACTACACAGAGCCATTGTTCACTGACGAGCTGCACAAAACCACGTTCATATTCGCACGATTTTTTGCACAGCTCGTCAGTAAACAACGGCTCTGTGTAGTTAATGCTGCTCAATGTGAAAGCCCGCAGGTGATGGAGATTTACCGCTGATTACAGAATCGTGCAGCCCTAATCTCTATGTTATATACTGCTCTGAGACACAAAAGATGTCCAGATGCAGCCGTTTATTGAAGGTTACTCCAAAATCATAATCCATATAACAGGCAATTGGTCAAAACACCATGCAGATAATCCAGACAATAAACACCAAGGCAGAAAAGACAAGCAAACGGGGTAATCCAAGACAACAGGCAGAAGATCAAAACCAAGACAGGAGAAACCAAGGTACAATGGCTCAGAAATGCATTGTAAAGTCTTGTATGTTTAATGTTACAATGACTGACAGAATACACCTGTAATGAGGGGTCAGAGGCGTGCGGATCCATTTCCAGCTTTTATTAAATAAATAGCAGAGTCAAACAGGCAGTAATCAATCAACGGTGTCAGGAACAACAGGGACAATCCAGAAGAGTAAACAGTAACAGAGTGCGGGTCGGGGCAGGCGGCAGAGAATCACACTAGAATGAACAGTCCAAGATAATACACGAGAGATCAAATAGACGGGATAAACGCTCAGAGATGTTAGCCGTGGCAAAACAAGACTTCGCGAAAACTAAGCTTCCCCATTTAAGCTGCATTCGGACTCTAAGGGGAAACACCTGTGCCAGTAATCAGTCCCAGGTACGGGGTGTATGGGAAATGGAGTCCATGAATGCTAGTACTCAGGAGAGGGTGCCCTCCGGTGGCGGTCGGAGAGAGCCACAGAGGACTGATTTGTGACAGAGCCCCCTCCCTGCGAGCGGCTCCTGAAGCTAGGAGGAACACGACGCCGGGGCCTTCCACAGGCTCGAGGGGCTGGTTTATCTGGGTGAGTCCTATGGAATTCTGCAGTGAGTGTGGGGTCCAGGATATCCTGTGCGTTGAA